TGTGACTGGTGCCGGAGGTATGCCTTGGCAGAATGTCCAGAATTGTCATGGCTATCTCCTTTTGCTGCTAATATTACTGATTGTTACTCTCATTGCTATGCAGCTGCTATGGCAATACTTTGTGCCATCAAATCTAGTTACAGCCTTGGACATCGACAACTGTTTTAGACGGCGGCTTGACAGGAATGCAATGTTAACAACAATGAAAAGATATCTTTACTGGCTTGCAACTTCGCTTATAAATCTCAAAAGCATATTTTGTTTTGTCTCAAAACCATGTGTTCACACGCGCGATGTCCCGCGTGGCGATGACGTAAATAATATTAACTTACATTTATGCATGCACGTTCATAATGAAGGTCCAAGTTCAAAACACCCCCGCCCGTGGCGTGAACCCGGGGGAAACGTCACTCTTCTTCGTGATGGGCTTCCAGCAACGCTAACTTTCCAACTGGACGAACGTAGGTTCCGGCTTTCGTCACAATTTCAGCTGATCTCACGAGTCCGTCCGCACTTGCGATCGGTGCACTGACCTCTCGGAGCGTTATCCTCCACGATAAGGACTAGATCCCCTCGCCGAAGATTTCGCTGTATCGTACGCCATTTGCTGCGTTTAATCAAATGCGGCACATACTCCTGCTTCCACCGTCGCCAGAACTGGTCGGCTAGAAACTGTCTGTGTCTCCATCGACGACGTAAAGACATATCTCGCTTGACGAATTCGCCCGGTGTCAGATTAGCACTTGCGCGTCCGTGGAGAAAATGATTTGGCGTTAGAACACTCACATCTGTCGCTGACCTGCTGCTTCCTCCATACACAAGTGGCCGAGAATTTAGAAGAGACTCGACTTCCGCGACTACTGTAAGAAAAACTTCGTCCACCGTGACGACGTTACCCATAATCGCTTTCATGGCTCTTTTTGTGGACTTAACTAAAGACTCCCAAGCTCCACCAAACCAGGGAGCAGCAGGTGGAATGAAAATCCATTGTACGCCTCGTGCACTAAGTTCGTCGGCGACTCGTTTTTGATCGATTTCAAGAACGGATTCTCGTAACTCACGCTCGGCGCCGACGAAATTGGTACCGTTGTCGCTCAAAATGCGGGCCGG